AACTATTACAAAAACACAAAAAAGTATAAATAAGTATTTATATTTGTGTATAAGCTGTTTAGATTGTCAAAATGCCTGTGTTTTTAGGGTTATCAAAGTTCGTGTACTCAGACCAGTAACATTTGGGGTCACAAGTTTTTGCCATGGATATTTTGTGGGTCAAAAGATAAAAAGTTTGGGAACCACTGCTCTACAGCACAACCCGAGGCACGGTGTGTGTGTTCACACCACGTTACTAGGCCGTACACACCCTTTATGCAGTGGCGGAGACAGACATTTTTCTCAGGGGTGGCCAGACTTAGCCTGGTTAAAACCAGACCCTGTTCTTCACTTTGCTTCGTACAAGGATCTGGACTTGCTGAATAGAGAATCGATTTCTTGCWGGAGGCGTGGCCTCTGCTGAAGTTTACAATGATTGGATCAGTTGGCTGRAYWGTATGTCGRTGTGACGYAGGCTAAGCTAAGAAMCTAACRGGAAATCGCGTGTGCTGTAAACAAAGYGGAGAAAAGTACCGAGCCGAACGAGACGACTGTAAATGAGAGCTGCTGCTTTGTCAGACAAATTTATTTTAATTTGGAAGCCTTATCAACACAGACTGGCTTCATTCACTTCCTCCACTGCCYTATGCTAAAATAACTAGCAGACACTGCGCAGAACATCGACGTTATTCAAAACTCCTCCTTCTGTTTGCTGATTGGCCCAMGTAAAATAAACTACAAGCAGACACTGCGCAGAAAATCGACGTTCTGTTCTCTGATTGGCCCGGCTAAAAATCTGCCAGCGAAACCCATCTCTAAGGGAGAAGTCCCAGACAGAGCAGTGAAGGGAAACTAGAATTGAGTGGAGCTGCGTAGGAAGGCGAGGGCCAGGCTAGGCCAGACTGGGACCACTACTCACACAGGGGTGGCCAGGAAAATTACATCATTTTTTACATGAAAGTTTCTGCAGATCTTTGTGCTTTTGTCATTTCCTTATGTCCTTATACTGGCGGTGACCACCTTATAAACATGGGGATCAGAACCATTTTAAAAGTGGGGGGGACACTATTGGGG